ACTGCAATAAACTGAGCCTCGTGTACCTTGGGCACCAAGCTGGGTAACAAAATTCATCTCCCATGCTTTTGAGACTACCTGTCTTTACAGGTAAAATATTTGTATATTAGATACAATTAACGGACGTGTAGCAAAACAATGTAACTGTAAGATTGATAAGATTAATCACATTCACAGAGATAACTGCATTTGAAAGATAAAAACTATATTCTTTTTTTTTTTTTTATTAATTCAATTTTGTTTTTAAATTATTTTTAAAAGAAAAAAAATAATAATCGATACTGTTATAGTATTCTCAGTGATAGGTGATATATGTCGTCTGCTACGGTCGAATACGAAACTACGTTAAAATAACGTAGCTAACTACCGGAGACTCAGATAATCCGATAAATCTATAGTGACCAATCTCTGTGTTATAGTAGTCTCAGGATTCAATAAAAAAGAAAAAAAAAGTCATATCCAAACAGACATAGTCAGCTCGCACTGGTTAATGGTTTATAGATTTAATAAAGTTGTTTGTGCCTATGTTTCTCATGCATATGTTTGTTGTGGAACAATTATTTACATGATAATTGATTCAATTTTTTGAATGGGTATTTTTTTTTTTGTCCACTAATGTCAAATGGTTGTTTTCTAATTTCTGTCAAAAAAATATATTAATCAAACAACAAAGTCAAATGAATATGTTGTTAATATCGAAATCATGTGTGTCTTGTATCCTCTTGTTTCAGAATAGATACACACTTTATGACAAATTAGTAATATTCCTTTTCAAAACAAACTTCTATCCAAACAATTAATGCATATATATTCGTAAAGAAAAAATGAAAAAGTGTGGCAGAATTGACTGTGGTCGAAACGACTATTGCCGAACTGGTACTGTTTCAGAAACGACTATGGCCGAACTGGTACTGTTTCAAAAAGGACTGGTTGTCTGGCCAAATCGTCTAGAAAGCTATGAAAAAGACAATTTTGCACGGCTTTCAATTTACAACAGATTTTTCTTTTACATTGACAAATCTAAATAGCCACTGTATTCTGCTTTTTTTTCCCCCAAACTTGCATGTACATCGATACTCAGCGTTTCAGCCACAGTCATTTCGCCATACTGCCAGTTCGGCCATGCTTTGTAAAGTCAGAAAATGGCCATGGTTTCTTTTAGTTATAAAGGGAGGGAAAGACGCAAAGAAACAAATACACAATGTAGAAAAATAGATTTTAATCATACAATTTATTTACTGTTAAGAAAAACCAGGGCCCAAGCTTTTTCAAGTAGATACACACTTGCTTTGGGTGGATATATTTTCTTAAAACATATGAGCTGTTTGAGTATTCAAAACTTCAAAAGACTACTCAAACAGCTCATATGTTTCTTAAAACATATGAGCTGTTTGAGTAGTCTTTTGAAGTTTTGAATAACTATCCACAAACACAAGTTAAAAGATGTGAAAAATTACTAGTCACTATATGGCCTTCAATGAAGAACAAAATCCATAATGTATAGTGAAGCTGTTAAAGGCCCATGTAGAATATAGGGTAGATAAGAGTTAATTGCAGTGAAGATCCAATTAGATGCAGTCATCATTATTCATGTTTCTCATAGTTAGTTATGTTCTTTATGAAACAACTTCTTTAAATTCAGAAATTATTGCATGTATTTATTTTTGTGATATTTGAAAAATAGACAAAAATGCAAGTTTAATTTTTGCAATTGCCTGCAGAATGCTGGTTCTTATTATTGTAATGCTCACCCAGTTGCATTATTTGCATTAACAAAAACCTCACAATAATATCTGAATTTACAGTATTTAATAATTGATTCAATTTTTTCCATTGAGACTACTTTCTTTGCAGCCATGAATAACAAATGTAATTTTTTTATCTTTTTTTTTATCAAAAATATGTAAATCATCAAAGTCAAAGGGAAACTTTATTATTGTCTTAACGATGTGTAATGTAAGAAAGTCATGTGTCTTTGTGTTTCACAGAACACTTTATGATAAAATTAAAATTTATGTTCAATTATATTCCTTTTCAAAACACACTTCTGTGAGAACACTTAATGCATGTTAAGAACATTATGATATAATGTGGCTGAATCGACTATGGCTGAGAAGACTATGGTCGAACTGGTACTGTGGCCAAAATGACCTGTGACTACTGGTTGTGTTGCCAAAATGTCTCTAAAGCATGAACATTTAGCTGCATTATTCTGTATTTTTCATCCAAACTTAACTTTCTTCTTGCAGATATGAGGTTTACTGTGCCTTGTCCAAAAAAAAAAAAAAATCTTTTCACTCTCTTGTCTTTTTCCAAGGGTTAATTATTGTCCAGATACAGTCATTAGGCCAGATGTATAGATGTCTAAAAAGAAAAATAATTTAGGATTATAGTTAGTTAAATGGGTGTTTCTCTCCTTCTACACAGCAACTTCATAGGAAAAAGGCTGTAGAACTAGTGTTCATGTTTTTAAAAATCTAGTAAAAAATGTGAAACATAGTACTAAACTATATGTTTGCTTTGTTGATTTTAAACAAGATTTTTAATCTGTATCTCATGTACATGTATTTCATTTACATCTTTTTTATAAGCCTAAACTTATAGTATCGTTTTCATAGCTGTGGACGAGACCATTTTTTGGCGCACTCGTCTCCCCATTGACTGGGTTAAATTAGGTGAACGTTCGTCAGTAACGCCGACTTATCACGTCGTATTTATCATAGACATTTAAACTGTGGGGTCATCAAAGGTTCTCAACGCCTTTACATAAAAGCATTATACAAACAGAAAAGTCTTTTAATTAATTAGATATACATATAGATATTAGACAAGTTTGAATTGAAAATAACGTTCAAACCTATGATTGCGTTGGATAAAAACTGCAATTTTTATATGTGTGCATGCTAAACAAATTTCTTGGTAGAGGGGTCTAAATACAGCACAAACAACATTTTCCAAAAGACCAAAATAAGTGAAAAAGTATATTTTAACAAAACGCATTTGACTAGCAGGTCGAACAATGGATATTAGATATATACATAAATAGAGGCAATTGAGTAGTGTAGTACTGGAATATCCAAAGCAAACTAATCATATGAGTTCTCTGTATGACTGAATGATTCAAACAATCCATGTGAAAAATATCCAGTTAAAAAAATGATTTTTTTTCATCGTCCGGAACTCTTTTAACAAACAAATCCTTTTCATTGAATAAATGGTAGTTTACTCTTAAATGATCACAATGTGGGAGTATTTTTTCTCTTTAAGATATTTTGTGAATTAACCCCATCGACTTAAAGTTTTTACAATGAAAATCCAAATCTGTAAAAGTATTTTTCGATTATTTAATGATATTAGCTCTGAACATTTATTATTCTCTAAAATGAAACTGTTGTGTGTGCTGATATAAAGAATATTTCAAACAAATTCCTTTAAAGTTTTGTGAAAAGAGTTTCATTTTATGTATCGAAATGTGTAACAAGTGTTTATTTAAATCCCCAATGGAGGGCCTCTGACAGACTGAGTGAGCGTAAAATCATTGTTATCGATAGCTGATGACAAACAAGTTTAAGGTAAATGATTCAGTACTATTAACAACAAAAGTACTACGGTTGTCCACACTGTTACGGGAATACCTCTAAGGGTAAAAAATAAGTTTTACACTACAGTGTAATCAAAACCATGTATGACTGCTGATATACCTGTGTTAAAGTTGATAAATTAAGAACAGTTACAGTGGATTCATCGTTATTCATTGGATACCAATTTTCGTTGATTTCGTGGGAACAGGTGAATCACAAATTTAAATATTCAACAAATTACAAATTGTTTATAGGTTTGTAAGCAGACTTTAGCAAAACCATGAAATCAAATATCCACAAAAATGTAACATTTCCTTAATCCATGAAAATTGGTACCCACAAAAATAAATGAATCCACAGTATGTAGATGTAGCTTGGGTGTAAGACAGGGAGACAACCTAAGCCCCAACTTATTCAATATTTTTGTAAATGATTTCCCTAGCTATTTTGATCAGTCATGTGATCTTGACTAATTTAAGTACAACTTTAGATGTTCACACATGTACACATCAGAACAAGGACTCCAGAATTGTGTAAATAAATTTGCTACCTTTTCATAGGGTAGGAAAATGACTGGGAGTTGAAAGAAAATGAAAGATTTAGTTTTAAACAAAGCTGGTACAAAAAACATATTTAATAAGATATGAAAATGAATAGATTGAAGATGTACAGCAGTACAAATACTAAGTTATGACATTTGCAGCTTCTCGTATTTTTTCTGCATCAAAACAAGTGTTACTTAAAGGAAGGAAAGCTTTTTTTTCAGTTAATAATTATTTTTACATGTGCCTCTTCTAATGCAAAAACATTATTACACATTTTAAATCATACCATTCATTTTGCCATTAGACTTGTCTTAGTTACATGTACTATATGTATCTGAAACCTGAGGTTATTTTCTCGTAGTAAACACACAAATATAAAAAAGAAATAAAAAACCTAGTTTTAGATTTTTTAAAGTGAGTACAGAGTGCAAGTCCAAAATAAAATAAATAGCAATGCCCAAATTTATTATTTAAATAAAAGAAAAAGGAAATAAAGAACAAAATTGAATAAATTTTTGCTGTTAAATGAGGATAACTTGACTAAGCTGATACAATCTTGAGGCATATAGACTCACCTGTTTAGAAAATAATGAGTCCATACAGTTTAAGACAAGTCAAGGATTTGTGGACTCTTATTGGTGAGAACCATGTTAGTGAATCTGAAGTTACTTAGTTCAAGCTATCAAATAGCTGATTTATATTGAAAAATAAAACCATACACTTCAAGTATTTCATTCAACTTTTCAAGCCCTTAACTACTTTCTGCACCTCACAGTTCACTTTATTTTAAGATTATTATCTATGGTGGATTATTCAGACATATAATGTTATACAAATAAAAGAGATAAGAATTGTATGTTTTTTTCTGTTTCAGATTTCAGAAAAAATTCAGTTAAAATTGAGGACAATAACTGCTAAAAATGAAGGAATCATAGCAGGTAAGAAATAGGAATTCTGGTATTTCTCATTGACATAAAGGGTAAGGGCTACTATGTGCACATTTCTTGGATAGATTTTCATAAGAAAGGGGAATTATAACAAATATACTAACTTCCAAGCTCCATTAAAAAATAATCAGTGGCCATATATGCTGACTTACTTCGGTAGAAATCTCTCTAAAAGATAAACTTTGGACCAATTAGTGACTGCCATGTACAATGTACCTGACTTTTGAGCAGGATTTTTGCAAATGTAAGTAATAGGTAGAACTAGGATTTACTTTTTAAACCTTCCACTTGTACCACAGTTGTTTTGTGTTCTAAAAATTATGAATTTTAGAGTTATCTTCCCCAATTGGACTTGACTACTTTTATACATTCCCACATCCAAATAAGTGTTTCACAGTAGGGGTTGTTGTACATATTGACAGCATACTTTAATGTTTGTTTTGATTGATGGAACTATTGGTTGAAACATTTAATTGCTGCAGTTAAAACACCTGTGTATTTATGCTTCCATGTTTCATTTCAACTAATTATACTTTTTATTTAACAGGTTTAATACCAGCTAGTGCAGAAATTGTTCAACCCTTTGTAATGGGATGCGATACTAAAAATCCAAAAATTATGCAGATTTGTTTAGGAGGTGTTCAGAGGTTAATCTCACATGAAGCAGTGTCAATGGTAAGTTATTAGACACTTTACATATGTTTTGGAAAACCTCACCTATAAATGATTTAAGAAAAATATGAATTGCCCAAATTCAGATGAACAAGCTATGAAAGGATTTTTACTGAATTTATAATTTTTTTTAATTTGAAATGCCTATCCATGTGCTCTTTTGTGACATTTACCCACTTCAAGTGTCATTCAACCACTAATATCTGGGAGAAAAAAAAGTGTCAGGTTAGAGATAAAGGATACTTGAAACCACTACTTTTTTCATGATAGTTTTGAACATCAAGATTAGAAGATAGTCAAATTATATATTTATCTAAAAAGTACTTCAGGGAATGTTAATGGTTTAACAGTACTGAAACAGCCCACAACTTTGTGATAGTGATTTAAAATGTGTGTCTGTCAGGTGAATGAAAAGTAAATAATTTATGCCTATTTTTCATTAATTTCATAGAACCATGACATAAAACTGGAAAAAAAATGATTAAAAAAAGAAGTTTTCTAATGACAGTATTTGTTTCTTAACTATTCATAAAAGTAATAATAGTTCATAGAAAATTTGTATTGACATAAAAAATGAAATACCCCCGTAGATATTAACAATTATTGTAAAATGCTTGTTATATTTCAGACTGCTGCCGATAGTGTTATTAGTATGTTATGGCACCTAATGGAATCAGGACAAGAAGAGCTCAAAGTTTTACAGACAGCTATTATATTAATTACAACTAATTCTGTTGTTCAGCACGAATCATTGGCCAAGGTATTGTATAGAAAAGTCAAATAAAAACTTGCTTGTGTTTGCTGAAATGTTTTTACAGAACATAAGTTTCATTGGGATGTTCCATTGTTTAAAGTCTATTGTATACTTGCTATACTGAGAAAAAATAGATTAATTAGCATTATTTGGTTGTAAAGATGGATAATGGGTAATGTTAACAGTGACAATTCAAAAGTGTAAAAAACCAAGAAAGGTAGCTTGAACAACACAAATGTTAACCAAAAAAAATATGAAGTTGATGCATACACTAAATTTTTTGTTAACAAGTTTCCATGTCCTGTCAAAGTGAATATCAGTTTCACAGATAATTGAATATTTTTGATAAATTACTTAGTTAAAGTATATATTTCTACTACTGTAAATGAAAATGCAGGATTTACTATACTGAATTATAATTCAATGTCCAGATGAATTTGTATTGTAAACTCACCACACTTTTCTCTCTCTCTCTCTCTGGTGTTCAGACTGTCCTTTTCTCTATCTTATATATGTATATTTAGAAAAAAAAGCTTCCTAAGAAAGATGTATTGATTAGATAATATTAATAGATTTATATAGTATATATTTTATATTATATTTGTGTATATTTTGCTGTAAATTTAAAGATATAAATAATGATAAAAAAAAAAGTGTATAAAACCAAGAAAGGTTGCTTGAACAACATAAATTTTAACCCCAAAAATATAAATAAAGTCTTGATGCATACACTAAATATTTTTTTTACAAGTTTCCATGTCTTGTCATCAGTTTGTAATAATTATTGTTACGTAAATTACACACAAATGTCAGAAATTTTGAAACATTGGTTGCAACGCAAAAAGTTGATTTATAAATTAAATTACCGTAATGGTTTTCAATCAAAATTTATATGTTGATAACAGGTGAAATTTTATTTGCTATTTTAACAGGCACTGGTATTATGTTTTCGTCTCCACTTCACAAAAGACTCCACAACAATCAACACAGCTGCTGCCACCATCAAACAGTTAGTCAGTATCGTGTTTGAAAGAGTGTTATCAGAAGATAGGGTCAAGTCTCAAGGTATGTTAAAGTTGTGAGTTTAAAAAACAGTGTAGTGCTGCACATATCTAGTCAAAGACTATTTTGGGGGTGACCTTACCTTCCCAAGAGGGTCTTCCATGGATGGTTCAATCAGATAGAAAATGAATGATGCAGAAATATTTCCTTGTTCAGTCAACCAGGTAAAAATTTTGTTCAGAAATAAAAGCAATAAAGTTGGTATATTTTTTTTTTGCCAAAAAAGGTGGGGGGAGGGGATTTTTTTTTTCTGGGGGGGGGGGGGGGGGGTTCAATACACAACAGCATAGTGTATTGCACAAAAGCAAAAAAAAATGGGTTAATTTTTATTTATTTTTTTTTGGGGGGGGGGGGGGGGGGGGGGGGGGGAGTCATTTCGCACAGGCAAAGTGTATTGCACAAAAGCAAAAAATTGAATATAAATTCAAATCATATAACCAATTCTAAGTTCTTTGACTACAGTTATTCTGTGTCAGAAACCTATTATGTGTCAAATATTTAATTACAATCCAAATTCAGACCTGTATGAAGCGCGAATATTGTGTCCATTTTTGCCCCAACTGTTCAGGGTTGGACCTCTACGGTTGTATCTAGATGCGCCCGGCGAAGCAATTTATTCAACTTTGTAACGTCTTCTCCAACATAAATAATTGTTGATTGTGAAAGATTTCAGTATTACAGGCTTGCATTAAATTCTAGACCTAAAATAATTTATTCACTGATATATTTGCAGCTCCACTAGAACAAATGAAACTTGAAGAATTAAAGATTGGAAGTAAAACACCACCACATTCTTTACAGCCTTGTGGTGGTGATGCCTACTTACTGTTTCAGGTGAGTATTTACAAGAAACATCACCACATTCCTTACAGCCTTGTGGTGGTGATACCTACTTATTGTTTCAGGTGAGTATTTACAAAATACATCACCACATTCTTTACAGCCTTGTGGTGGTGATGCATACTTACTGTTTCAGGTGAGTATTTACAAGAAACATCACCACATTCCTTACAGCCTTGTGATGGTGATGCCTACTTATTGTTTCAGGTGAGTATTTACAAGAAACATCACCACATTCCTTACAGCCTTGTGGTGGTGATGCCTGCTTATTGTTTCAGGTGAGTATTTACAAGAAACATCACCACATTCCTTACAGCCTTGTGGTGGTGAAGCCTACTCATTGTTTCAGGTGAGTATTTACAAGATACATCACCACATTCTTGACAGGCTTGTGGTGGTGATGCCTGCTTATTGTTTCAGGTGAGTATTTACAAGAAACATCACCACATTCCTTACAGCCTTGTGGTGGTGATGCCTACTTATTGTTTCAGGTGAGTATTTACAAGAAACATCACCACATTCCTTACAGCCTTGTGGTGGTGATGCCTACTTATTGTTTCAGGTGAGTATTTACAAGAAACATCACCACATTTCTTACAGCCTTGTGGTTGTGAAGCCTACTTATTGTTTCAGGTGAGTATTTACAAGATACATCACCATATTCTTGACAGGCTTGAGGGGTGATTCATACTTAATGCATCAAATAGGTATAGCATCATCATATTCCTTACAGCCATGATCTGGTGATTCTTTCTTATTGTTTTAGATAGGTAAAGCATATAAACCCTAGGCCCATTCCTTATAGCCTTATTGTTGTGATGATTTTTTGTACAATGATTTTCTGAGTTTCCACACTCAAAACATTGCCATTAACTATGATGAAAGAGAATTTTTACCTTTAATAGTTCCAAATACTGTATCAGAACTTAAAAGAAATGATGCAATATATTTAAAATTGGTTTTATGGATTTTTTGTTTTCTTTGTACAGGATCTCTGTCAATTAGTGAATGCAGACCAGCCTTTTTGGTTAGTTGGGATGACAGAAATGACCAGAACATTTGGTCTAGAACTCTTAGAAGCAGTTCTCACATCATTTCCTGAAATATTTCACACAGTGAGTATTAACATTTGTCTAGAAGTTCATAGTTTGATCAGACATTTTATATGTAGAACTGCTTTTCAGGTATTTAAAACATACCCTATAGCGGGTTATTTTTGCGGGTTGTTTATTTTCCCTTATTTTGGCGGATAAATGAAAATCGTGAAAATAAATTCTGCGAAAAATTTATGCATATGCTGGGTACTTTGTAATAGCTAAAGCGTTTTGTGAACGATCTATTTTTTCTGGACGACAAGTCAATAACGGTAGATGTTGGTTTTAACAACATAAATGCCAAAGGAGTAGGCCCAGTAAGACCCCTTTTTGGCCCCAAAATATAGCAGTTTTACAAAGTTGTTATAATGTAAATTTTTAGCTATTTATTGGAAAGAAGAATACTTCTGTTACATAAATATGGGCTGTTTTTGACAATACAATGCACATGTATCGGGTTCTAGCATCATTGATCATGCTAAATTACTGAAATCTTCGAAATTTTAGCATTTTGGTTAATTTTTAGACGGTTTCCGTCTGAAATGGAAGTGGCCGCATTTGTGTTCATTCTTAATATTTAAATGTAAGTTGTATTTGATGCTAAAACATAACATATATAAAGGTTGAGATTGAACACGGATGCGGCCACTTTCGTTTTTGACAAAAACCGTCTGAAAAGTGACATATCATGGCATATTGATAGATTTTTCATATTTAAGCTTGAATTTGAGCGTCTTTAATGACTAAATCAGTTCAAATCTTTCACATAAACTAATTGAATCGACTGAAGTAGACACTTAAGCGTTTAAAAAGTGTCATAAATCTTTCATCAGATGAACCTGAATTTTGAGGCCAAAATCGGCCATTACCGGACCTACTCCTTTCATTGTACATACATGTATTTTATAAAATGACTGTCAGGTGTGTATACCCTTATTAATAAGTGTCAATTAAAATAAGAGTGTAAGGTACTCTTATCGGGTAATTACCCTTATTAATTAGTGTCAAACTATATAAGAGTTGTAAACACTCATGATAATTTTGTAACCTAGTTAGTAAGTACATCTAATTTACAAGACGTTTGAATAGCTGTAACAAATATCTAAATCACTGGTATTCTATTATTAACTGTATCAGAATATGATAAATAAATAAGACGTCATTCAGGTAAAAACAAATCATTTTACCATAACAATAGACACTTGTTTGTCAAGTTTTACAACTTTTTAACTGCAACAATTTCAGTATCCGCCAAAATATTTAATTGGCATTTAAGAATCCACCAAAATAAAAACCACCAAAAATTTTTCGTATACTTTGTTGCCCCTAAATCGCGAAAATAACCCGCAATACGGTTACCTCTTGAGCATTTGGGATTTGGAAGAAAAGTATGTAACTATTCTGTATGAAGTGTCTGATATGGATTGATTATTTTGCCTATCAATCAATGTTTCTGAAAAGGATCTAGTGGTATTAGATTATCAGGAATTCTAGGCTATACACTATTTCCATAGAATACAAAGGATCTTTGAAATTTTTCATAAATTTATAGAGCTGAATCGGAACAATAAATTCTGGCTATGAAATGAGACCACATATTAAAGAAGATATGTTTTTGGTGTCAGAAAATATACTGGGGCTTTTTTCACAAAAAATCTTACGTAAGTTATACTGAAATGCTTCATGACTTAAGAGTAATTTTTCTCTTAAGATTTTTTGTGAAATTTATCACAGATATGCTAATTTTAGAGGTAAATTCAGCCTATAATGGAATAACAAAGGATATGGGGTATCCATCTATGACACATTTATATTAATTTTTGACTTTCAGTTGAGTACATCAAGGCACGGAGAATGGAGGTCAAATAGCTTTATAATTATTTATACACTGTAGCACTAACCTACAACATGAACACTGTCTGTATTGTATTTTTTACTATATTTTATATATTATTTTTCAGCATTCAGAATTTAGTTTTTTGCTGAAAGAAAGAGTATGTCCACTGGTTATTAAACTGTTCTCACCAAGTCTGAAATACAGACAGGGGTTGCCTCCCCCTCCTTCGCCAGCACCAGTTGAGAAGCCATTTTACCCAATAGTGATGAGGTTACTCAGAATTGTCTCATCATTGATAAAGAAATACTACTCATTATTGGTTTGTACACAATTTTTCTTTTTTTGTTCACCATCATTACTTATATCTGTTTTAAATGACAACTCAGTGTATCTGTATGAAAATCTGTCCATACTACATAGGTACTTAACATAATACTAAAAAATGCCCTTTTCTTACCTTTTTATTGTCCCCAATGTGACCAATAAACATTTATTAGTTATTACCCTTGGACAGATAAATATGCATGGGTTTTCACAAGCTATGAATGCGAAAAAAGGATAAAATAATGCAAAGAATTAAAACAATTGACAATAATAGATATTCTCTGATAAGATTTCAAGTCATCTGTGACTGGGACAAGCCTTTTAAGATATTGTAAAACTTTTTTCTGTCTTGCCTTCCTTATAGTGTTTAATTCTTAATATCCTCTTCACATCTACTTACTTGCGGCAAAATCTTGAAATTGAATCTGCAGGCAACATTATCACTAAAATAAATTTAACTGTGTAAATATCTCATTTTTCGTTCATTTTTTCATGTTCAAGCACTATGAGAACACTAGAATCGCAGTTGCAGAATAGTGCCACTCAACTGTTTTCCTATGAAAACAAGGATTATTGTGCTTGATTGATTGTTGTTGCCTGGACATATTGTAACTGAAGTGACTACATGTATTTTGAAATTTTAGAACACTTTAATATTGAATATCTATACATAACAAGTTACAATTATATACATTTCAGATAGTTTGGCTCTGTAAGATTGTCTTCTTGTTAAATAATTCAATACTTAGTTATGTGTTGTTAAAGATATATTGGGGGGCCTCAGTGGTCGAGTGGTCTAAGTAGTTATTACTGTAACCACTAGCCAGTCAACACTGAGGTTGTGAGTTCGAACCCTGCTTGTGCGGGTGCACTCGACTCCAATCTTAATTGACTAGGATTGTCAGTTTTCCTATCGAAGGTCGGTGGTTTTCTCCGGGCACTCCGGCTTCCTCCACCAATAAAAACTGGCAGCCACGAAATAGCCCAAAAGCGGTGCTTAAAAGTGGCGTTAAAACACCAAAAATCAAAATCAAATTAAAGATATATTGAAATCTCAATTTGAATATAAAGATAAAAAAAGTCTGTGTGTTTAATTTGGATCTTCACACTGTAGTGAGAATGAAGTATCCCACATTAGTGTATAACTATCTGTCTGAAACTAATTCAAGCAAACAAAGTATGACTTTGCTGTATATTAAGTATAAATAAATATTTTTTTTTTTGTCATTTCAGACAACAGAATGTGAAATATTCTTATCACTGTTAGTGAAATTTTTAGACCCTGAAAAACCTAGTTGGCAGAGATGTTTAGCTCTTGAAGTCTTACACAAACTTAGTATACAACCAGAGTTGATAAGGTATGGTTTAAATATGGATAACAAGATAGTGTAGAATTAATGCTAAAAACTTTCTTATATTTGTAGAATTTTTAAATGTTAATATAGATTAAAAAAAAATTCTAGAATGATATCATGTTTTTGATTTTTTGTATATTCCATGTTAAAATATTCAATCAACCATAACCAACAGAAAATGACCTCACAACAAACACATTTTTTTGCACAAGAAAATCATGATTTGTAAATGGTATTGTCCATTGCAGTACTAATTTTTGTAATTTTCTTGTATAAATTATGTTTTTTTTTTCTAAATCAAAATATTGTATGGGATAACTTCAATTTTTTCAGAAAGCTTGTCTCTGTTGTGCTCCATTTTTGAGTTAATTTTAATTTAAATTTGACTGCATTTGTGACTGTCAAATAGCCAATTAATATTCTGTGACATTACACAAGATTGTCCTAATATAGTCATATAAGGGGGTTTGGCTGATATGAAATGTTTACCTTAGGTCATTTTATATGGGCAAAAATATGCATATCAATGGTAAATGTGTACACATTTTAACATGTGATGCTATAAAGGAACCATGGAAATTGTCATAGATGTTAAAAGAATGACATTCTCTGTCCACACCTTAAAGGTCAAGAGAGAACAAATTTGAAATTTGCAGAAATTTTACGATTGTTTATAAAAAGAGTTAATTGCTTTGTATTTATTTTTAATTATGAAAAAGCTACCTCAATTGAATATGAAAGTTTGGTCACCCTGTTTGCAATGACTTGAGGAATCTGGTCTAATAATTTGAAGTATGATTAAAATTAGCATAAATATATCAGTGTATGGTTAAACTTAATGAAGTACTTTTTAATAACAGTTGTTTATTGTAGCCTTTGCTTATGCTTTTAGATGTAGTTGTTACCATTTTAAAATTTTGTTTTTGTTTCATTTTCAAGATGTTTTTGTCAGAGTTATGATATGAAACAACATTCCACAAAAATATTTCGTGACATGGTAAATGGTTTAGGATCATATATACAGTCACAGTTTATGACAACATCTACTGGTCAGGGTTCTCAGAGTGGTAAGTACAACATGTTGTGGAAAGTTAAATTTGCAAGAGACAAGAACAATAGCATTGCAAAAAGTTAAATGGTGAGAACAATTTCAATATCAATATCATAGAAAAACTAAAGAAGAGTGGTATTTGAAAATTGAACCAGTTGTAAGAACAATATCATTGTGAATGCATTAATCAGAGGTAGGATCAATATCATTATGGAAGATAAGATAAGAGTGGTAAGAAAAATTTCATCTTGAAAAATTGAATTTGAGTAATAAGAGCAATACATTTCAAAAGTAAAAACCAATATTGTCCCCTGGTAGTCTCCATATGATATATGGTCGTAATATAAAATAGTTTATCATAATAATGTTGATTTTAATTTGTCTTCATGTGATAGACAACATTTCAGAATGTTATGACAACAATCAGCAACATAAAAATGTCTGTCGTCATTATCAAATTACAGCAAACACAAAAATCTGTATTTAGTGAATTAAAGAGAACCACATTCAGGTAATCAATATTCACCTTCTTTTTAAGAGAATTGTTAATTTATTATAATTTTGAAAAATATACATGATTGGCAAACTAGATTAAGTTATACCAACGAGATAAAGTTTCTTGTGAAAAAATGCTTTTAATTCTAGGATTCTTAATTTTTTAGGAAACAAAGCTCCTGATATACAAGGAACACCACCAGCCTTGGTAGGAGGAATGCCTGTAGGAGGGGGTGTTACTCCACAAGCAGCTTTTATGTACAGAGGAGTGTGGATTCCTCTAGCAGTAACTGTGCCTCAGGGTCAAACTAAATCTATGTTGTAAGTTTTATTTTGATATTACTACATAATGTTTACACCTCAAGCTGATCAAGTTTCAGCATTGAAACAAGATGTTTAATAGTGCCTTCTTCATTAAAAAATTTAAAAGGAAAGTTTAAAAATGTTTTGCTTATACCAGGGAGTTACCATATATTTCTGATTCAGTAATAATAATTCTTAAATAAAACAGATATTAAATGATCACTTATCAACCATAACAAGCTGGAACCAGGAGTATAACGGCTACTTCAGCGATAAATTTGATTTTGATATATGGAATTTCATGAACAGTAATGGACAGCATGTCATTATAAAAAAAAATGCAGCAGCCTTGTTTTTGGTATTCTTGACAATCCTATAATTCAAGGTTTGTCCTGAGAAATTGAACATTTGAAGAGAAATTGGTATATCTGATCGAATCAAGGTTGGAAAAGCACTACCAATCACCCGTGAATAGTATGTTGTCTTTCCCTTTAGACAGTGCAAAGTTTGATGCAAAAATCAGCATAACATGAGACTGATATAGGATATTTAATTATTTAAACAGTACTAAACATTATAAATGGTGATGCACTTAATACATGCCCTATAACCTTATTGTAGGAAAGTTTTATCCGAAGTCAATAACAGATATTCGAGTTATGTAGTAGAGTTATATTTCTTTTCACAGATATATTTAATTTAATGAAGTTGTATATTAGTTTAGATTAGAGTTATTAGACAGAGTTGACCCACCAGCTGTACAGGATATATTTAGTTATATGAAGTTGTATACTATTTTAGATTAGAGTTATTAGGCAGAGTTGACCCACCAGCTGTACAGGATATATTTAGTTATATGAAGTTGTATATTAGTTTAGATTAGAGTTATTAGACAGAGTTGACCCACCAGCTGTACAGGATATATTTAGTTATATGAAGTTGTATATTAGTTTAGATTAGAGTTCTTAGTCAGAGTTGACCCACCAGTTGTACAGGATATATTTAGTTATATGAACTTGTATATTAGTTTTGATTAGAGTTGTTAGACAGAGAGTTGTATATTAGTTTAGATTAGAGTTATTAGGCAGAGTTGACCCACCAGCTGTACAGGATATATTTAGTTATATGGAGTTGTATATTAGTTTAGATTACAGTTGTTAGGCAGAGTTGACCCACCAGTTGTACAGGATATATTTAGTTTATGAAGTTGTATATTAGTTTAGATTAGAGTTGTTAGACAGAGTTGACCCACCAACTGTACAGGATATATTTAGTTATATGGAGTTGTATATTAGTTTAGATTAGAGTTGTTAGGCAGAGTTGACCCACCAGTTGTACAGGATATATTTAGTTATATGGAGTTGTATATTATTATAGATTAGAGTTGTTAGACAGAGTTGACCCACCAGTTGTACCGGATATATTTAGTTATATGAAGTTGTATATTAGTTTAGATTAGAGTTGTTAGACAGAGAGTTGTATATTAGTTTAGATTAGAGTTATTAGGCAGAGTTGACCCACCAGCTGTACAGGATATATTTAGTTATATGGAGTTGTATATTAGTTTAGATTAGAGTTGTTAGTCAGAGTTGACCCACCAGCTGTACAGGATATATTTAGTTATATGGAGTTGTATATTAGTTTAGATAAGAGTTGTTAGTCAGAGTTGACCCACCAGCTGTACAGGATATATTTAGTTATATGGAGTTGTATATTAGTTTAGATGAGAGTTGTTAGACAGAGAGTTGTATATTAGTTTAGATTAGAGTTATTAGACAGAGTTGACCCACCAGTTGTACAGGATATATTTAGTTATATGGAGTTGTATATTAGTTTAGATTAGAGTTGTTAGACAGAGTTGACCACCAGCTGTACAGGATATATTTAGTTATATGAAGTTGTATATTAGTTTAGATTAGAGTTGTTAGTCAGAGTTGACCCACCAGTTGTACAGGATATATTTAGTTATATGAAGTTGTATATTAGTTTAGATTAGAGTTGTTAGACAGAGAGTTGTATATTAGTATAGATTAGAGTTATTAGGCAGAGTTGACCCACCAGCTGTACAGGATATATTTAGTTATATGGAGTTGTATATTATTTTAGATTAGAGTTATTAGACAGAGTTGACCCACCAGCTGTACAGGATATATTTAGTTATATGAAGTTGTATATTAGTTTAGATTAGAGTTGTTAGTCAGAGTTGACCCACCAGTTGTACAGGATATATTTAGTTATATGAAGTTGTGTATTAGTTTAGATTAGAGTTGTTAGACAGAGAGTTGTATATTTGTTTAGATTAGAGTTATTAGGCAGAGTTGACCCACCAGCTGTACAGGATATATTTAGTTATATGGAGTTGTATATTAGTTTAGATTAGAGTTGTTAGACAGAGTTGACCACCAGCTGTACAGGATATATTTAGTTATATGAAGTTGTATATTAGTTAAGATAAGAGTTGTTAGACAGAGTTGATCCACCAGCTGTACAGGATATATTTAGTTATATGGAGTTGTATATTAGTTTAGATAAGAGTTGTTAGACAGAGAGTTGTATATTAGTTTAGATTAGAGTTATTAGACAGAGTTGACCCACCAGTTGTACAGGATATATTTAGTTAAATGGAGTTGTATATTAGTTTAGATTAGAGTTGTTAGACAGAGTTGACCACCAGCTGTACAGGATATATTTAGTTATATGAAGTTGTATATTAGTTTAGATTAGAGTTGTTAGTCAGAGTTGACCCACCAGTTGTACAGGATATATTTAGTTATATGAAGTTGTATATTAGTTTAGATTAGAGTTGTTAGACAGAGAGTTGTATATTAGTATAGATTAGAGTTATTAGGCAGAGTTGACCCACCAGCTGTACAGGATATATTTAGTTATATGGAGTTGTATATTATTTTAGATTAGAGTTATTAGACAGAGTTGACCCACCAGCTGTACAGGATATATTTAGTTATATGAAGTTGTATATTAGTTTAGATTAGAGTTGTTAGTCAGAGTTGACCCACCAGTTGTACAGGATATATTTAGTTATATGAAGTTGTGTATTAGTTTAGATTAGAGTTGTTAGACAGAGAGTTGTATATTAGTTTAGATTAGAGTTATTAGGCAGAGTTGACCCACCAGCTGTACAGGATATATTTAGTTATATGGAGTTGTATATTATTTTAGATTAGAGTTATTAGACAGAGTTGACCCACCAGCTGTACAGGATATATTTAGTTATATGAAGTTGTATATTAGTTTAGATTAGAGTTGTTAGTCAGAGTTGACCCACCAGTTGTACAGGATATATTTAGTTATATGAAGTTGTATATTAGTTTAGATTAGAGTTGTTAGACAGAGAGTTGTATATTAGTTTAGATTAGAGTTATTAGGCAGAGTTGACCCACCAGCTTTACAGGATATATTTAGTTATATGAAGTTGTATATTAGTTTAGATTAGAGTTGTTAGACAGAGAGTTGTATATTAGTTTAGATTAGAGTTATTAGGCAGAGTTGACCCACCAGCTGTACAGGATATATTTAGTTATATGGAGTTGTATATTAGTTTAGATAAGAGTTGTTAGTCAGAGTTGACCCACCAGCTGTACAGGATATATTTAGTTATATGGAGTTGTATATTAGTTTAGATTAGAGTTGTTAGACAGAGAGTTGTATATTAGTTTAGATTAGAGTTGTTAGGCAGAGTTGACCCACTAGTTGTACAGTAAATATTTAGTTATATGAAGTTGTATATTATTTTAGATTAGAGTTGTTAGGCAGAGTTGACCCACCAGCTGTACAGGGTATATTTAGTTATATGGACTTGTATATTATTTTAGATTAGAGTTGTTACACAGAGTTGACCCACCAGCTGTACAGGATGTATTTAGTTATATGGAGTTGTATAGTAGTTTAGATTAGAGTTGTTAGGCAGAGTTGACCCACCCGCTGTACAGGATATATTTAGTTATATGGAGTTGTATATTAGTTTAGATTAAAGTTGTTAGGCAGAGTTGACCCACTAGTTGTACAGGATATATTTAGTTATATGAAGTTGTATATTAGTTTAGATTAGAGTTGTTAGACAGAGAGTTGTATATTAGTTTAGATTAGAGTTATTAGGCAGAGTTGACCCACCAGCTGTACAGGATATATTTAGTTATATGGAGTTGATATTAGTTTAGATTAGAGTTGTTAGGCAGAGTTGACCCACCAGTTGTACAGGATATATTTAGTTATATGGAGTTGTATATTAGTTTAGATAAGAGTTGTTAGTCAGAGTTGACCCACCAGCTGTACAGGATATATTTAGTTATATGGAGTTGTATTTTAGTTTAGATTAGAGTTATTAGACAGAGTTGACCCACCAGCTGTACAGGATATATTTAGTTATATGGAGTTGTATATTAGTTTAGATTAGAGTTGTTAGACAGAGTTGACCACCAGCTGTACAGGATATATTTAGTTATATGAAGTTGTATATTAGTTTAGATTAGAGTTGTTAGACAGAGTTGACCACCAGCTGTACAGGATATATTTAGTTATATGATTGATTGATTGTTGGTTGCTTAATGTCCAGTGGCAAATATTTCATGCATATTCAGGACGATTTAGTTATATGAAGTTGTATATTAGTTTTGATAAGAGTTGTTAGACAGAGAGTTGTATATTAGTTTAGATTAAAGTTATTAGGCAGAGTTGACCCACCAGCTGTACAGGATATATTTAGTTATATGGAGTTGTATATTAGTTTAGATTAGAGTTATTAGACAGAGTTGACCCACCAGCTGTACAGGATATATTTAGTTATATGAAGTTGTATATTATTTTAGATTAGAGTTGTTAGACAGAGTTGACCCACCAGCTGTACAGGATATATTTAGTTATATGGAGGTGTATATTAGTTTAGATTAGAGTTATTAGACAGAGTTGACCCACCAGCTGTACAGGATATATTTAGTTATATGGAGTTGTATATTAGTTTAGATTAGAGTTGTTAGTCAGAGTTGACCCACCAGTTGTAC